AGCATGTTAATATCGCGACTACGTGTTGCAAGATCTCGTCCGACAACGAATGGAAGTAAAGATCCATTAACACTTCTCCCATCACATATTGTACTACGTATTATGGCCTATCTAGATCCAGGTTCTTTTTTTTATCAACCTCATCAGATTCTTCATTTCTTTTGTTATATTTTCAAAAAATTCATCTCTATGGCGTCCCTCTCATCCTCTTCTAGATCGCCTTACGCTTCCAAAATTTTTAGTTTCTCTCTGCCGAAGTTCTCGTGTATCCCGTTACTGGCGCGCTTGTTTGTTCTGAACCAATGCTATGGCGGACACTCTGTCAACGTAGCGGCGGTGGAAGTGTCGACTCTGGTTCTGCGGAAGCAGAATCATCTCAATTACGAAGCCATACATCTGAATGTGGTACAGTTCGATGGAAAGAAGCGTTTTCCGAAAGATACAGGCTTTGGAGAAATTGGCATGCAGGGCGGTAAGTTTGCTCACTTTACTTTTTCTACTTATTCCTATTCAATGCCTAGATCTGAAATAAAGAAATGCGGCCTGGGTTCTATGCTGTTTTTTCATTTTGGCTTTAGCGCATGACCAAGACCTGAAGCTCAACATCAAATATTTTATCCGAATATTTCTCGAAGGTAGTTGTGACTTTCAGCTGTGTAGTACGCACGTTTACGGGTCACACTCAAGGCATCACATGTGTTCAATTTGATGATGATCGAATCGTTAGTGGTTCGTCTGACACCACTATACGCATCTGGGACTTGAGAGGATCAAGCGATGTTGGAAGTAAGTTATTCTCGTATGTGTTGCGTTCCGAATCTTCTTGTTCAATAGAAAGGAAATTCAATATTGATCTGGATTGCAGACCTTGGAACAATGGCACTGAATGGTCATTCGGCTACTGTTCGCTGTTTGGACTTGAATGGAAACGTCTTGGTGTCTGGTTCCAATGATTTTTCGATTAAAGTATGGAATGTTGATGTCAACCCGAGATGGTCTTCTATTGGATGTCGTATGACGATGCTCGGCCATTCGAATTATGTTCGGTGCCTGCAGGGTATGGCGGACTCTTCGTCAGGTACTTGTTCATTTTCAACTTGTCAGATGGATCATGAGATCGATTAGTGGTCGTATGATATGCATTTAAAGGCTATGGATTGCATGCAATACGGGAGGGTGTGCGAACACTTGGGTAAATTACCTGACTGGCATCTTAATTGCATTGGCACATCCACGTTAGTTCAATGGATTTCTCACATTTTTGTTTCAAACGAAGTATTTGCCTCTGGACCGGTGTGAGCGGCACTTAAAGTTCTTTGGGAAGAAAGCCGTATCCGATTTTCTCCTAGATTGTTTCGCAGAACCCCTTGCTCTCCGATAATATGAAGTTGATTTAAGATGTTTTCTCTTTCTCTTTTTTTTAGTACTTGATTTGTTAAACTATTTTCCGGATATCATCCAGTAAGGAGGTAGCATGTGTTGTTACGGTTCATATCGCATGAAACTTGGAATATTCGGTTTTTCGCAAAGGGAAAGCTCCAGGGTAGGTGTAGAAGCGAAAACGCAAGTGTTCACATTTTTGGGGATAGGGATTCTTCCTGGTACAAAAGTCGTAATTTCTGTAGATGGCAGCAAATATCGCAGTACATGCCTCCCTTACTGTATGAGACCCCATTTTTGTTTCCCACTTTCCTACGATACTCAGTTCATATGCTTTTCTATTGATTCACTTGCCCATTTTTCTCGAGCGTAGTTCATTAGTCATGAAGTAAATGTATCCTCTAATTATTTTATGGCGCTGGTTTAGTGGACACAACGATTCGGTATTATGCGTGCAGTACCGCGATCGAGACTCATTGGCTGTGTCTGGATCTGCAGACAATTCCATCAAATGTTGGGACACAAGGACGGGCAGGCCGGAAATGACAATACATAATGCACATGATAACGCGGTGCGCGCTTCGAAAGGCCTCTTATGATGGTTTAGTTTTGACTTTCGAGGTCCACTAGTTACAGGTCACGTGTGTTCGTTTCGATGATCATCGCATCGTTTCTGGTAGTGTCGACAGGATGATAAAAATGTGGGATGTACGAACAGGGAAGTGAGTCCTAACATAGTTTACGCTCATCTCACCAGTTTCACTTGATCAAAACGTGACATTATGAACACTCTTCTTCCATCGACGCATTACCGCTTATGTAGAGGTCATTTTTTAGGTGCATGCATACTATCGATTGGAAATTGGCTGAGGGTCACACTGGGGTAGTCCGCTGCCTTCAAGTGGACACATGGAGGATTGTAAGCGCAGCAGATGACAGAACAATCAAGGTATTTCTTATTTTCAGAAATTCCAACTTTAGTCAACGTGTAGACATTCATGGTGTGTTCCTATCGTTTTAAATTTTAATAATATTCCAATGAGAATTTCACGACTCCTTCATGATACTCTAGTTGCTTCGCAATTTCTCATTGGAATAAAATAATTTCTCTTTTAAAAAACAATTAGTGTGCTAACCTTAGTGACAACTTTGGAATCTCATAATTTCCAATTCATTCTGGTAGTGTCAAAGAGCAACTTCGCTGTTCTTTTCGCATCCCTAGTTGGTCC